AGCTCTGATTACAATGACCTTCATTATATCAGCTACCCTTATTATACACATAGAGCATAGCGCTCCCTTGGGCTGCACACTGCAGCATAAAGGAGAGGAGGTGGGGCGGCCCGCTACAGGAGGATGCGTGCGTGGCATGTGACTGACCGCAGCCACGGTGGTCCTGCATAATATCCTTGGCCGAAAAACAGAATATCAGGCCATTGTGCAAAAGTAAGGTAATTGTTCCCAAAAGAACAGTGCTTGGAAGAGGTGCAAGATAAAATCCTTGTATTTCAATTGTTTCATATTCAAAAAAAAAGTACAATACCTACAGTACGTATTCAGAGTCAAAGTACACTAAAAGGAATGTGGAAACCCATATGTCTTTTTAGCATTTAATCTCAAAATAATTGGGTTGGATTTTCGATTCAATTCAATTTGCGATTTAAATGGATTCAGTTTGATTAAATTCAGATTTGATTTTAATTCATCTGGGTATATTTAAGTTATAATATTAATTTTAGTTACACAATGAAGAAATGCTGCTGCTAAATGCTAAATCTCTGCTATGTTTTTTCTCCTATTAAACTCGGATAAGACAGAGATATTACTTATTGGACCAAAAGACAGTACACAGAATCTCGTGGATTACAATTTGCAACTAGACGGATGTACGGTTACTTCCTCTACAGTCAAAAATCTGGGTGTTATATTAGATAGGAACTTGTCTTTTGAAAATCATATTTCCCATGTTACAAAAACAGCATTCTTCCATCTTAGAAACATTGCCAAACTACGAAATATGTTACCTGTTTCTGATGCAGAAAAGCTAGTTCATGCATTCATGACCTCTAGACTGGACTATTGTAATGCACTGCTAGGTGGTTGTCCTGCATCTTCAATAAACAAGCTACAGGAAGTCCAAAATGCAGCGGCTAGAGTCCATACCAGGTCAAGAAAATATGATCATATTACCCCAATTTTACAGTCTCTGCACTGGCTACCTATTAAGTTCCGTATCAGTTACAAAATATTATTACTTGCCTATAAGGCCCTTAATGGGTTAGCTCCTGCGTACCTAACTAATCTTCTACCACGCTACAATCCATCACGCTCCCTAAGGTCGCAAAACTCTGGACGTTTGGTAGTACCTAGGATAGCAAAGTCCACTAAAGGAGGTAGAGATTTTTCGCATTTGGCTCCCAAACTCTGGAATAGCATTCCTGATAACGTTCGGGGTTCAGACACACTCTCTCTGTTTAAATCTAGATTAAAGACACATCTCTTTGGCCAAGCATTCAAATAATGCATATCATAATCTTGTACTGCAGTTATATCTGATCAAATGCACATTATTATTCTTTAGTTTGGGTTAAACAAATCAATTTTGCTTGGTTGGAACAGCAGCTACGCTAATTATGTCCCTATTTGTTTCTCTGTTTTTGCCACGGGATTGACATAGGTAACTGGGATTGATTTGTAACTAGGATTTACACAAGCTTCAGTCTGGATCCAGAACACCTGAGAAGAGATGATGCCAACCCCTCAGAGGACCTCAGATGATGCCAACCCTGAAACAACATACAGAACTACCACATTTTGCTATAAGTTTGATTGCATCATATAATAAGTGTTCAGCGTCTGTTTTATTACGTCTTAAATTGATTTTTCCGTACATTTCTGCCATATGTACATTAATTGACAGTCACCACTGATAAGCTACCACTAAATATTGTAGAAACTTAATTTGCTGTAAAGTTGCTTTGCAATGATTTGTATCGTGAAAAGCGCTGTACAAATAAACTTGACTTGACTTGACTTGCTATTGCTTAGCATTATATAGGGTAGTGTTTCAGATTGCTTCAAATGGGTAAATCTTTTTGAACTAGTCGTCAAAAGAAAAGGCTTATAAGAATACATTCACTTTAGAAACAGACTACACTGATCGTGCTGTATATTTTGATTTACTAAAAAAAAAAAAATTCATAAGCGTCATTTGTTCATGAATCTGACCAAACTGGTCATGCTGTATGTTTTGAGTCACTAAAAACAACTGGTTTATAAGAGTCACTTGTTTGCAAATCAGACTACACTGGTTGTGCTGTATGTTTTTAGTTCACTAAAAACAACCGATTCATAAAAGTATTTTCTTAATGAATCAGAAAACACTTGGTACACTGTATGTTTTGATTCACTAAAAAGAATTGGTTCATAAGAGTCATTTGTTCATGAATTGGACTACACTGTGCACACTGTAAAACAACCCGTTCACAAGAGTCATTCAATCATGAATCAAACTACATTGGTCGCATTGTTCCTTGCCATTATTTCACAGTAAATTATCTTTTTTATTGCTTGCAAACTCACATTAACAAATGAGGTAAAATATAATTTCTTTAGCTATTGTACTAAAGATTCAGTGGTGGTGAAGACAAAGACAATAAAATTTAAAAAATACAAGTTTTTTATGCTAAAACTACAAAATACAAGTTTTTTATGCTAAAACTACTAACCAACAGCACAAATCCATGTTTTATATCCGTCTGCATCACAGGAGTCTTGTATACAGGAGATCATGATGTCTTAATTTGCCTACAGACACATAATGCTGGTCACCTCAGCCTGCAGTCAGAGCCAACGGATGCTGGCAGCGACTCTACGTGGAGAATGGAAGCTGGACCGGGGCCCTAACGGAAAGCTCGGGGACTCTCGTCACCACTTAGCATACAGCATGCTTGTTAACTCCAATTTTCTGCTCATTCCCACTCACAGGGCCGCAGGGTTAACATTCTTCAGTTCTTGGCAGACGCACCCTCTGGTGGGGGTGACCACCCCCTGAACGGCAGGGGAGCGGGATAAAGACGCAGAGTGCGCCTGCTGGCTCTTGCAGCATCCTTCTCGCTTTCCTGCCAGGTACTTCAATGGCAGCCGTTACCCATGGAGACCTGCCTCTCCCTATTCACTTAGCCTGGCTAACTGAGCATTGAGCAGTAGGGGTGCAAAGGGAGGGAGGAGGGCATCGGTGCAGTCTGCAGGGGGCCAGTGTGTTTGTTTTGTGGAGAGCGGTCTAGAGAGCTGGCTAAATCTGCTTGTTTTGGATGAGAGGGAATTGGGAGGCTGTAAACACTGGTTTAGGTGATGACTCCTCAATGACTAGTTAAGGTGTACAACACCTGCCGGACCAGTGAGATGCCCAGAAGGACAGAAATACCGGCAAATAATGTCCTTATATGCTGTTTTTTTTCCCTAGCATGCTAATCGCATTAACCAATTACTGACAAAAAGGCTCAAGAATCTGAATCCCAGACATTATCGGATTATCTGAAACAATCATTTTCTTTTTTCTTCTTCAAAAACATTGTACGTGTATAGTTAATATCCTGCGCTGTTATTTTTCTCTCTCATCATATTTTCATCAACTGTATTTTAATTAAAAACAGTCATCATGATTTGCACTTTTTGTTCTCCTCATTGTTGACAAAAACATCAATTTTTTCAAATGATTACTTTTTTGAATATCAACAACGACCAAAAAGAAGAATGAAAGATTTTAATTAAAACTTACCACTGACAAGAAAAAACGTTAACCATGCACTAACAATGCTTTTGAATAAGAACAATCTATAAATAATGTAATAGTTTCAAATAATCCAATCATAGTCAATAATGTCAGGGATTCTGATATGTGAACTGAAGCTAGACAGTGAATGAACACTGGTTTAATAAAGTGCTTTGCTAGCGGGTTAATTAACTCACCCAAATGCATTCTATACATATGAGATTAATCACATATATACACAGACAGCATTAACATAATATTACAACAAAATCACAAAAGTTAACTTGAACTAAGCTAAATGCTAGTCAGAATGAGCAAGTCATGCTATAAATACAATCTTTTTGTGACTAAAGCACAAGCAATTTACAAAATTCTATAACAGCAGTGTACCCATTACATCACAATGTTATTTCAGGAACTTTTTGCACAAGAACAGTTTTTGTTAACTAAATTGACCAAATTGAAAGGATTTAATCACCAAAAGACAAAAACTAAAACAATTTATTTTACTAAAAATTTATACAACTGCAGAAAGATATTCAATGCATTAGGTATTCAATAGATTTAAGCTTGGATTATTCACACCAGTTCCTATATGTTTTATTACTAGATAAAGTTGCATTTATGTCTCAGGATTGTATTTATGGGTTGAGAAGAGGAACAAGTGGCAGATGAACAGGCACCTGGTGAACGTTGAGCGCTCCTGGGCTTTTAGGGCTTAATTAATCAAGGCCTCTGGGTATTATGGCAGGGCTTCTTCGTGTGTGTGACTCAATTAAGTTGTTTCGTGAACCAGAGGTGTGACTTCAATATTGCTTAGAGTCACTACTACCACACGAGCTGTAGTTAGCATTCGTGCTTTGGGTGAACTGAGGCAATTCCAAACATAGTCATGTCTTCATCTGCTTCATTGACATAACACAGCGAGGCGAAATGCACTGAAAAGTTATGCCACTTTAGCATGAGGCATTTCAGCTCCAAAACCTGCATCCTATTCACTAACCACCCAGAATCCAGCTTAAAGGGGTCATATGATGCGATTTCAATTTTTCCTTTCTCTTTGGAGTGTTACAAGCTCTTGGTGTATAAAGAAGATCTGTAAAGTTGACTAAAGTCTCAAGACTAAAGTCTCAAATCCAAAGAGATATTCTTTATAAAAGTTAAGAGTTTAGCAACATCATATGACCCCTTTAAATAGCCATTATATGTGCTGGTATAGTGTCAAACCATGCATTTATGAATCAAGTCATTGTTTACATGCATAATTTGTGTAAAAAAACAAACAACATCGGCCAGCAGAATTCTTTCTTAGTACTGCACTTGAAAATATGACAAACAAAATTAGAAATGGAGCCGAAAACATGCTTTATGCTGTCTGATATGACTGTTTATTAGGTAACTGGCCGCTAAAACAGTCGTTAGTAAACTATTGATGCATTATGGTACATTGTGACACTGACCTTCAAGATATATTGAGTGCTCCAGTTTTGACTCGGTCCTGTGGGTCACTGTCTTCTTGCCAAAAGTTAGCTTGCACGTTCACACTAGACTCTTACATAGCTGTCTGTTGACGCCTACAAGGACACAAAGAACAGTTATGGGTACATATTTTACCACCAAACCATAAACGCAAACAAAGATTTTGATGAACTTTTAAAAAACGCCTCCCCTTCACCACTTTGACAAATCAACATTCAGTTTGTGTGCGTTTTTAATGCATCTTTTTATACCAGTGCTGTCAGCGGCTTGCATCGTACTCAGAATTTTATAAACAGCGCTGTTTCCGCAGCACAGTAACTACTTTCATTTCATTGTAAAACCTGTCAAAACTCCAATTAGATGTTTAGAGGGAAAAATACGACTTTCAATTTGCCAAAACAAACCACTCCATAAGTTAATAAAAAGGCATTATCATCCATCTTGTGCTCTTATTAGATTGTGTATTTATGCATGCTATCCTTTCAAGAGAAACAAGGGTTTGTGGGTAAAACACAAGGGGAGTGCATAGAATCTCTGAAAAAGTGATAAAAAGGAAATAAGTAGATTTATTTCGGCATCTCGAATGTTAAAGTTTTAATATGTTTTTTTTTTAACCAGATGAAGTCTGTCTCATTTCATATGCCTATCAATATAAAACAGATCCCACATATACAATGAGTTATTTTTATTTATACTAAAATACTGATGCACTTTAATAAGCTTTTTGTTTTAGATAAGGGCTGAAAACAACAGAATTAAAGGCTTGAAATTCCAAATTAAAGGACAGACTAATAACCAGATGATTTTTTAGACCAGATAAATACACGAAAAACATAATAAATAAAAGTAATTATTGCAGCTGGTAATTACAATGCTAATTATATTGCTAATTAGCTTATTGTGATGTATACTGTGGATGGGGCCTTCACTACGCCTCAGATCACACAGAAACAAAGTCAAAACGGACTTCAGCCTAAATGATAAGAGCACCACTGATGACAATATGTTTGTTTTAATATTATCAACTGATTGCATATTAACATTCAAATGTCCTATCGGCAACATATTCCCACTGTCCATGTGACCGTTGTAGAATGACATCATTGCAAAGACCTTTGGTCTTACAAACTGAAGAGGTTGATTAATCAGGTCCTCAAATTATTACTTCTAAAACCATCTTGGAAGATGGCCCGAATGGAGAATGAACTTGATTTAGAGTGCCAGGAAAGGGTGGATAGATTATAGTCCCCATATAATCTCCTGACCCTGGCAACTGAGGTAAATGTAGACTCAGAAACATGTAACACACATACACACCTGAATTCAACAGGAAGACTTTAAACACTGACACATATTATATATACACACTAAACCTACTGTAATCAATAGTATTACATCAAATATCCTCAGCCCTCTACGAACACCTTGGCAATTGAATCGCCATTGGCTAGTAAAATGTTTTGTTTACTCGCCAGACTGATAAATATATACATACACATATACATATATACACACATATACACACACACACACACATACACACACACACCTATTACCACAGTAGGGGGCAGTTGTGGCCTAATGGTTAGAGAATCAGACTTGTAACCAAATGGTCTTGGGTTCGAGTCTCAGTACCGGCAGGGATTGTGAATGACCAGTGCTGTCTTCCACCCTCAATACCCACAACTGATGTGAGACCCTTGAGAGGGCACCGAACCCCCAACTGCTCCCTGGGAGCTGCCGCAACAATGACTGCCCACTGCTC